CCCTATCTCTCTGTCTGCTATCCAATTAATTATCTCGCTTTATCTGCCGCGCTTATATACAAGAATAGATGGCGTCTAAAATGCACTCGCCTCTTCATGAACCTTCTAGACACTTATCACGTGTTACCAGGGTCACGTGACCTCCGCTGTCGTAACAATACTCTGTTTTATTTTAGGATGGTCGTCTTTTAGCAGCGTTCATTCTTCATTAACCCTAAAGGACATGTGACACCAAGTCCTTGAATTCCTAGAATGTTCGTTATTATTGATTATTGAGAAATTTTGCAAAACATCTAGAAAAAAGCTACAGATTTAAGTACAAATGAGCAGTTATTTAAAGAGTGGTGAATAGTGAATTAGCACTTATGATCTATTGTTTTATAAGCATGGAGTTTTAGTGAAATGTTTAAATCAGTGTTAATTATCACATATACTCAGTTACTCGATCAACCAGCAGTAAATTTTTACAAGTAAGTTTCTTTTATGTTACTTTAATACCTTTAGAAAGGTATTTTTGTTTGAATGTAATTTGTAAACATAGGCCTCAGACAAATTACAGCAGTGTACAAGTGCATGCAGCTTGTAGACATTTCAAAGAAGAAATAAATAAATTAATATATTAATTTTTTATCATTGAGTGGACTGGACTTTGAGTTATTTTCCTCAAATAATAAAAAACCTGCCCTACAAAAAACATTACAACAGTCCATTAGTTACAAATACGAGAATATAAGTTTGGTTCGTTCAGTAAAGAAGTCAGATCAATGTTATAAATTTTATAGCATATATTCAGTTATTCGATCAATTAAACATGAAAGTGTACAAGCAATTTTTTTGTGTTAGTCATAGAATTATTAACAAGGGATTTAATCTCCGTTATAACTTTATTCGTGAAGTTAGGCTTACAACATGTGTCAAAGTAAACATAGCATGTAAAAACGTTATAATGAACTGGACTTTGTATTATTTTCACCAGGTAATCTGAAAAAGCCTACCATATGATCGAAGTGATAAAACACGTTACAACATAGGTTTAGTATTGTTACGACAGCGGAAGTCACGTGACGCTGGTAACACGCCGTGAGCTTCTAGAACGTTCATGTCCCTTCCTGAAGCCTCGAGTGTTTACTAGATATGCGGTATTCTTGTATATAAGACGGCCAAGAAGTGACGGCAACAATGTAGTT